GAAGAACACTATATAAGGAGGCTGACGCGGTCCAGGGGGATAGGTTCTTCGTGCTTTGTTCTAAGTACTTTTCCTCGTACTTGCCGTCGCTTCGCCCCGAGCATTTCTTTCGCCCTCATGGCGGGCCTTGATGCCTTTGATTCTGGGGGAGATATCTGAGTTCGCTCAGTAGTTCCTGGAGTGTTTGGTGTTGAGGTCTGTTAGGTGTTGCGTGGCGGACTACTTGTTTGCTTCTCGTTTCATTGGGTTGGTTATCTCATGATACTAGCACTTCAGGTACTTCATCACGGTCGCATACGAGCCCCTTTTGGTAAACTGTCTACGGCTTCCTGTCTATCGTCTACTCACAGGTTTCGCGTTCAATTGCGGGGATTGCACATTGTGTTTGGGGGGATCACCCGTGTCGTTCTTTGGACCAGCTCATGTCTTTTGTTGGGTTTTAACGGAGTTCTTAGTTCTCGCGATACAAAACGCCCTTGGGTTAGACTGATGACCTTCCCAAGTATCAACACGTCGTACCGACCGCATCACTCCCTCAAGGGATGGGGCCTCGCCGGCCCCCCCCTGCCTTGTTACTTTATGTTTCTACGGTCGGAATCCTACGATGTTGTTTATCGCCGTTCTCTTGGAGTTTTTGTCCTTGCGGCATTTACGGCGATTCAGTCGGGTGTCTCCTCCTTGCACTTGTGGGGATGGCTTTGACCCTGAAAATTCTTACCCCCTGGTGTGGTTTTCATAGCTACCTGGGGTGGTGTGGGACGATTGGCTGCAAGGCACTTGCGTTGTCTGTGCGTTTGGGTAGTTCGGTTGTAGTCTGTGGTTGGCGGCTTCACCCATTGCAAGCGGGGCCTACCTTCTGTTTGTCTGCTTCTGTTCATTCACCCTGCCCCTTCTTGTCGCGTCGGTTGGGGATGCCTCTTACCCGTCCTTTGGTCCGTGCCTGTTGCCGGACCTGTGGGGCTGGCTTTGGCTGGCTCCACCTACCGTTTTTCCTGACTCGGTTTGACTTCGGTTCCACTGGGTTGGATGTTGTGGCTGGTGCTGGTGCCTTCGAGTATTGGTGCGGCCTTTTTGTGGCTCCTGGCTGTGGCTGGTGGGCCCCCCTTCACTATACGGTGCTGGGGGTTGGGGCTCTGTTCTTGTGGCCAAGACCACTGGCTGCCTGATGGGGTTAGGTATAGCTGTCCTGTGGCTGTCGGATGGTTAATCTGTCTGAGGGGCTGAGGGGGCCGGGTGGGCTCTGTGGCGCCTGGTGTGTGGGGCTTGGGGGGGGCTGATTGGGGGGGGGGAGGCACCTGCAAGCACCGGTCGGACATGCGTCAGGTTGGGCGATGTCTACTTAAGTGTTTCCAGTTCGGCTTTGGCTGTTGGGCGAAGCTGCTGACTGCTGCAAAGCTCCTCGATGACCCAGTTGCCTGATGGCCACCTGTGCGGATAGTGGGTTGCGACCACCTGGTTGGACTTGTTTGGGTTCTGGGTGCTGGGCTTTGTGGGGTTTGTTTGGTTTCTTTGGTTTGGTAATGGGCATGGCTGGTGGGGGCAAGGCACCACGGGTGGGAGGTAGGCCCCACTGACCGTTTCGGTCTGTCACCACCTCTATGTGTTTTCTTTGTTTATATTTTGTTTTGGGGGACAGGCAGCGGATACAGGTACTCCTCACCATTACGCTCTCCGGAGGAACTTGGCAAAGTGGGTTCATAGGGTCGACGGCCTGGTATGCGGATGCGAGAGGTGGATATGTTGGTCACCTCCTCTCTGCCATTGTGTCGCCTGTAGTTTATGTTTGTTTTAGTTTTGTTGGTTTTCTACTGTGGTGGAGGTGTTGCGGGACAGTGTTTAGACTGAGCGGTAGTGATTTTATATTTGTTCGACGAGGAACCTGGTTGGGTTGGTCTTTTGCCCGGCTTCGGCTACGCTTAGTGCTGGTTGGCTTCATACTAGAGGGGTTACGGACTTGGACTGGGGCGGGTGCTGGGTTGTTTGATGGTCTTGTAATTAGTTTCCGTGTGAGCATGACTCAGGGATGGCAGGTGCGGGACCGTAGACTTAGTTAGCTTAGGATTAGTGGTATACCGGTTAGCGGTATCCCCGTGCCAGCGGGGGCTCGTCGTATGCCAGTGTTGGCGGTACGAGTTTAAATAAAACTAGATTGCCTTCTAAGTACTTTTCCTCCTACTTTCACCCCGTGTCAGATGTGAAGGTTCGGTCTCGATCCAATCAGAGTCCTTGATTTCTATCTTACAATAGGCTTCAATTCTTTAACTTCGAACACCTTTCAGGGACTTCATTGTTATACCTTCTTCTATGTTTGCTGCAAGTCCTTTCTTCCACCTACTTATCTTTTCAGTTGTTTACTACAGTCACCTCCTCACAGTCGCAATAGCTAAGTGAGCCTCCTACACCTGCGACAGGTCCACTCTACATTCATCGCTGGTTTTGTCTGGTGCTGTTGTGAAGAACTTCGCTCTGGAGTCTAAGCTCTCTTGCCTTCAGCATCACATCTCTGTCCTTTCTCGCCGATTTCATAGCACTGGGAAAGAGATATCTGCTTTGTCAGCTGTACTCGAGAATGAACCTACTATCAATCGTAGTTATCTCACTATGTTGGTGGCTGAAGCTCCTACAGTTATGACCTCTTCACATGGCTCCTCGGTCACTTTGGATACTACCATGGTCTCAGTTGGGGGGGGGTGGGCTAGACCCTGAGAGTTCACAGGGTCCAGCGGAGGAACTCTATTGCAGGAATATTGCACCGCCAGTTATCTCAGCCCTTCCTGCAGCTATGGTTGTAGGTGGTGGTATGGGTAGACTAGTTCCTGATCCTTCAGGGCCAGTTGAGGCGCTTGCTCCTGGTATGGGTGAGGTGAATCCTGGTATGGTGACACCAGCTGCGGTGGTATGACCGCCTTCAGGGGGGAAAGTGCCTGAGTCCTCTGTGGCTGAGCCCGTGACTGGCCCGGGTAATGCCTCAGGTGGCATCCCTCCTGTGGCAGTGGGTAGTGATGAGGGTGGCCCGTCCACTCCCGTTACTAGACTTGCACCTGGGGGTGGGAAGATGAAGAAAAACAAGAAGCGCCAGGTCAAACAAGATCAGACCACACATGTACTGCTGGTCCCAGACTTGGAAGGGTCATCGCTTTTGCCGGTTTGCTATTGCAAATCAACTGCTAAAGAGTCTGCGGCGGGTTCGCCGCCTGCAGAAGGAGCTGTGGAGTTGCAGGAAGAGTTGAATACCTGAGCATGTTCAGTCAAGTGCCAGCAGCTTGAAGACTATCTCGTCCTGGCTGCTTCTATTGAGGTTTTTGGGCTGCCCTGATTGTGTGGTGCCCTCCTGATTCTCTACGATGATTTGTACCCCCTTGGCTAGAGAGCCCTTACCCTGTAAGTTGGCTTTCCATTGAGTTTATGCGCTTGAGTATTGGGTATTTCTTTTGTTTGGGAATGGAAATGGGTGTCGGCGTAGTTGGCAGGGTGTCCTGGGATCATTGAGTGGGGACACTCGGGTGGGTTTCTACTGTGGAGGAGGTTTTTGTGGGGTCACATTCAGGTGGCAGTGGTGGAATTTTTGTATTTTGTATGGGTAACCTGGCTGGCAGGTAGGCTGAGCTGAGGAGGATTTTTCTTCACTGTTGATGGCTTTGTATTTAGTGTTCGTGTTGGGGCATGGCGTGGGCATGTTTGAGGTACAGGGTTGAATGTTTAGTTAGTCCGTAGTTAGTGGTATCCGGGATGCAACAACCTGGGGGCCCAGCCCTGGGACTCGTCGTATGCCAGTGTTGGCAGTATGAGTTTAAATAAAATTAGATTCAATTCTAAGTACTTTTCCTACTTATTACTTTAACCAATATAAAACACCTTTACCATCTTTATCTTTATTGCAACGTTATCGTTATGCCAAGGGAAGCTCTTCACAAAGAAGAGTTAGAGAAAGCTTACAATAGGCGTTCCTGATAGAAGACAAAGGTCTTGTACTATCAGTA